TGAGTATTGTTACACTCGCGCCGCGGAAGCAGAGGGATGAAGGTTTAACGTTACGATTTTCTTCGTCCTTGACTTTCTTCATCATTTTTTTTACCTCATCTTACGATTTTCTCCGTCCCCATCCAGTTGCACACCCAACATTCGGCGCACTGTAGATTTGACCGAAGATTTCTGAATGGATGTGGCGTAATGTAAAAAATCTTAACGGAAACGTTGTAAAAAAGATCTGAGTATAACGAGCACAAAGTTTTGGACCGGTACGTCTTATCACCGGAGACGCAGCAAGATGTAAGGTCCTCATAAAACGGACTCCTTTTCAATGAGGGTAATGGTATTATTCGCTTTAATATTGTGTGTACCTTCTTCAACTGGAACAAAAACCAGTAGGCATCGCGAGATCAATTCTGTTTGAATGTTGAAGCCAATGCACTGAAGAAGTTAGACGTTAATTGAATACAAGGAATCAATCAATGCTGCTCTTAATTTCAAAATGGTTTAGTGGCCTTTTAAAACGATACAGTTTGGAAGCTTAGCCAGAGCCTTGATCTGGGTTCTACAGGAATGTTGAGAGTCCGTGAACGTAGATTAATGATAGAAATGCGTTAAATATCTGTTAAAGCACGGTCAGCTCATGCTTATCAGAAAATATTCAACGTCCAGCCAGAATCAATCAGTGAGAAAATTATGTAACAGGTTTGAACATGCGCCTTCGCAAATCTCGCAGCAAAACCTCTACGCCCAGCGTTGTAGTCTCCGTACGTCGCGGGGCGTCGGCCCTGCGTGTCATAGCAAGCAGTGGCCAACGGGCGGACGAAAATGATGACGCATCTGAAACAAGGACCTTTGAACGCTTTAGGACAGCAATTTGTGTGTTCAGAGGGAAGTATGGGTGTATATTTCATCTGTATGATTTTGAATTGATAACAAGAACAGATTAGTCACCACAGCACCGCGAGGTGAAGCTAGAACCACCTGCTAGTGGAACTGGAAGTGCAAAACCAAATCCCAATTTACCGTGTTGCTGCAGCTGTTACTGTGTCCAGAGGCTAACCTCGAAATCGTATAAAAAGAAATGTCCTAATCTTATCTTAGTACGTTCGGGAACAGTATTTACCGACGGTCGTTCCCAAGCGCGGGGCGCCCGCCGCTTGGTTCTACGTACAGCGGTCAACAACGATCAACGTTCATGGAAACCGCGACCTCAGCCGTCGCTGTTCTTTTTTCTGAGATTGCGAGCGCGCAGTAGGTGGAACGTAGACCAACGCCACTTGGTCCTAGGAGACTGCTCGCTCATTGCCTTTCTTGCAGCTTAGTTCGCAAGTGCGCGGGTCGAAGATGTTTGATAGAATTGGCTTCGCCGGTCGATTCTGCGGAATAGTGAACGTTCTTAAGCAAACGTAGGTTTGTCCTTTTCACCTTTGACTCATGTTGACCTACGCTATTCAACACTACAGGACCTCGACTTTCTCCGGGCAATGGCCACCGTGAGAAGAACACGAGAGGGCCCATTATCGTTCTCGGTCAAGGACGGAGCGGCCATTTCGTTCCAACGCGGGGTGCTTTCCGGCTGCCATTCTGGTGGCACAGGGGCGGGTCGCTCGGGTCGATCCGTCGGCCATAAGAGGGATGCGTCATGTCACATTGGTCCTCTCCCCTCCCTTGACGCGTGAGGCCTTCTGACCCGCGCAGTCGGCCCTCGATCGGCGTAGGGGCCCTCAATCACGAGACAAAATTTTTGATCACCGCAGGTGGTGCAATGATTGGCATGTAGACCAACTGACACGCACCCTCGTGACTCCCCCCCCCCCCCCCCCACCCCAACCTTGCCCGCATCACTGTTCTACCTCAGCCCAGGTTTTTCGCCTTTCATTCCTCCTTAACCAAAGCGCCGCCTGAGGAAGGCCATGTGAAGGCCAGTGTATGCCTATGGATCTTCCTGAGGCGGCGCCAAAGCACCGCCTCAGGAAGAGACGCGACTTCCACGACTAGGTGATCGCTGCCGGTGAAGTGCCTGGTGTTCGGGTCGCCGCGATCGCGAGCGACCTACTGTGGTTAGTTCGACACAGTTATGGACCGTTCTGCTGTCGGCGACGCAAAGCTGGCCGTGACCCGTACTGTCCGTGAGAAGATACTGACGCTGCTCGCAGCTACTTGCCCGCGGCTTCAGATGGCGTGAATAGCTGGTAGAGCAGAGGACGGAGAAGCCTCGTTCAAGGCAAAGTTTCAGTGGGCGAAAGCGTATATTTGTTTAATCCAACAACGAATACGACCATAGTTTGACTACATCTGGTCTGGAATGTCATCTGCTCGAAATCTTCGGTCGGCCGACGCAACCATGACAGTACCCACAACAAAACGCTTCCCGTAACATCGGCCGCACCCACCACACACCGCCACACACACAACAACGCAACAACGCTTGACCGGAGCGGCCCTAGTTCAAACATCTATCAAAGAATCATCATCGGCCAGTTGTAGCAGGCTGTCTACTTGCCATGGAATGCCAATTATCTATTACCTTTATCTAGCTCGGGACGCCTGTGGTCTGATTCATTCAGAACGTTTTTTACGTCGGTAACACCACACAAGCGTATGAACGCATGACAGGCGTTATCACTTACTGCTATCTCTTCAAGTCAATTGCGATGGAACCAATTCAGTCAGTCAAAGCACAAAACGAGCCTGTTCAATTTGAAGCTTGTGAGCCTTACCACCCTGCTAAGAGTCCCCACAGGTCATAACCATTAACAACTAGCAGAAAATGTAACAGCAACACCAATAACGTTCAGTATTCGCGGACTACGAGTTTTAACAACCAACACCCAGCTTATTGTAATTCGTCAGTTCGCAATATCACGGATATCATAAGAGTGCCGGCATAACCACACATGGAAGCTTGAAGGTGTATCAGCAGCGTTAGTATTATTTCATAGCACATGTATGCTGAAAATAGCCGTGGCACCGGCAGGAGAGCCTTATGTACCTCGTAAGAGTAACATTTCAAAAACATGCTCGAAAAAAACGCTGCTTAATTGGTCCGATCAACGTAGTGCAAGCGGAAACACTTAGCGATTTCCAAATATGTAGCGCGAGATCCGGAAGCGTCCCCCGCTCCTAAACGAGCATATCGAATGCAGTGTACGCCTATGGATCAGGCGGACAGAATGGGAAAATAACCAAAATCGCACCATTTCCTTGCGCAACGATTACCACTGATATGAACAAGTATGGACAAGCAACAGGAATGTCAGCTGTAGTCCGAGCGGCCTTAAATTGATAGGCATCTGCCGAGCTGCAACCATTTTATGACGCACCACTTTGCCTTTAGATGGGGTGATCCAACAAACAGGCTGACAATAAACAGGCTCTCAATAGATGACTTTACGGGCACGAATCCAAGACGCCGCTGCGAATCATGCCATCTTCCATGCCACTGATGCCCGTCACATCATGTGATAAGACCGGCAAAATGTATCACAGCTAGGCTGTTTCAAAACAGGGGCGTAAGCAGAATTTTGCAACCAGCCCTACTCAGTTTTTCACTGAAAACTCAGTTCAGCACCAAACAGGCGTGCAAAACTTGTTGCACGTGGTAAAGCACGGGGACTAATAGCAAGAAAACAAGAATTAGCGACATCACTTCCTGACACCTATGCTCAATCAAATGCAATCAAACGCTGAAGGTTCATTGTTTGTGATCTTCCGCCAGTAGCGTCGCCTGTAAATGACTTTGCCGCCCAGCCCCATTAAGATAGTACATATTCATAAACAAGGCTAGGCAGCTTTTAGTGCAAGTACACTACAAATGTAGAACACACACGACTCATCCATAGTCTACCGAGCGATACTAAATCTTCCGTAACACGCGCTACAACTATACCTACATTCTTTGCATGTCAAAAGGGCATTTCCTAATGCAATCTTTACTTACTTGTACGTGCAGGTAAGGGGGGAGGGGCAAGTGACTTTTTCAGGTAATCACGATGTTTTCACGTCGCACATCTCTGCTTGAAGTTTATGGTTCAGCCGCACCTTGAAGCGTTTTGTGCAGGCCATGTATTGCTTATGGAGTAACATGTTAGCTGCCTAGCATGTGACTTGTTCTCGTCAACATATTCTAGGTTGGCTTATGTCCACCCCCCAGGTTTTGCTCCGCGTGTTACCGGTCATATCAAATAGCATACTAGTGTAACGGAGCTGGAAGGATTCAAACTAAAAACGAGGACAATATTTTACATGTCAAAGTCGCTTTGCATTACAATATACCCCAATCGCGCCAACCATTACGAATGCAATAAGGAAAGCAGACGCCGGCAGCAGGATATACTACAGAGGCGGAGTTTCGTAACGTGAGTTTGGGGAGGGGGGAGGGGGGGGGGGGGTATTACTCGATCTTTCTTCCAGAATACGCCCACTGAAAGGTTTCTCCCAGATTTGGTTCACTTTCTTCTCAGGTGAGAGGAAGGGGGAGGGGAAGCTGACGCACCGAACTGAACACGAAACTTGTCTTTCGCCACTCCCTTTGAACCATGACCATAGGGTTACTTGTTTCATCCATCTTAACAAACGTCACATCGAAACTCGCTCAAGCAATGAGGGCGTCACAACTTCTATCGTTCTTTTCCTGGGATGATCATTGACATTTCGGCAAGACTGCACTGAACGTACGTCAGCCACATGACAACCTACTGACATTCTCGAAAAGTCCCGAGCAAATTGAACCGCGGCTGACGGCGATGTCCGGAGTGTAATGTCAGAGCCTCAACTTGAGCCGGCCAGCCACTGCTGCGCCGCATGCTATGGCGTTGCTACGAGGCTTTTTCCACGGCACAGGGCCTTTCCTCAAGAGTGAGAGGAAGGCGACGCTACGAGGCATATTAGGCTCTACAGAAGTATGTTCCATACACATCTGCACAGAATCTGCGCAAATGTATATGTAAATAAAGGGATATATATATATATATATATGGGCAGTCACGTTTACATCTGATGTAAACGTGACTACCGATCCGCACATGGTTACACTTATGCGTAACGTTTTGTTGCACATGAGTGTTATTCATAGAAGACCATGTGACTGTGAATGGTTTAATGTGCATTATATGGGTCCAAGATTACGAAATTTGATCCCGTTTTGTTTCGGTCCAGTTTAAATGACCAGCACTAACTGCCACGGAGAATGGTTATTTGCTGCCGGGCGTTCGTCAGGTTCTGGTAGGATCTGTATCAATCGCCCTTTAAAAACAGTTCATCCAAGCAAAAGCCTTACTGACCATAACAAAAAGCAAGTGAGAACGCGCATTTAACACCAACAGTCCATTTGTGATAAGCAAGAATCGAATACTTTCGGTCCAAAAATCACATGACATTAACAAAAAGATAATGATCATCAACAGCTTTCATCTGGGCGCCGGACCCACCTCGTTACTTGCTCCACAGCTTGGGATGAATCCTTTGGTCTTTCTGACGAATCCGACATGACGAGCTCCCTACGGAGATAGGTGGCTCAATCTGATCATAGGTGGATAATGATCGGCATGTCTTGGGTCTTGTGCTAGATCCACATTATCCACGTTAAACTACAGCAGTTCATAACAAAACAAAATGCTGCAACACAATGCTACTGTCCTATTTGGCATGGGTATCACATACTATTCTGCCCAGGGCTGCATGCTCGGACAGGCTTTGGCTCATTGCACTTGGTGGCCCAGAACAGCTTGTTCTTGATCTGCTGGCACATCTGGAACGCCCTGGTATAGAACACGAGGATGCTGTTCAGCTTCGACACGGCGCACTCGGCGAGGAACGAGTCGAACCTCATGTTGCCCTGCTGGGAGACCAGGTGGTACACAGCCAGCATCAGCCGATGGCCCTGCACGTAAAAGCTAACGGCAGTATCGCCAGGAAGGGATGGGCTCAGTGCCTTCATGTTTTCGCTGTTCAAGTGGTCCTCGATAGTTTTCTTGCGCGGGCTGAGCAGGCAGTCGCGACCCCGCTTCAACACCAGCATCAGCTCGTCGATGATGAAGCCCAGCCGTGCGGCGATGTACTGCAGGAATACCACGTCGACGCCGTCCTTCATCTGGTCCACACGCTCCTTCAGTTGTGAAGCCTCCTGCACCTTAAGGCGTGCCTCAGCCAGGAAGTTGCCAGAGTCCTGAATCTGGGTCAGCAGCCATGGCTTCTCTGGGCTTATTGACGTCTTGTGAATAGTGTTTGGGTGTTTTTGAATTTTTATCTGTAGCTCCGCCTGTACAATGAGATTACCTTGCAGGACCAGCACACATTTGGCAGTGTCATTCAAACTCTGGTTGGCTGCTTGCTGCATTACAAACCTCTCCTGCTTGCTTTGGGCCTCATGAGGATCCAGCAGCAGTGCTGGAAATAACTCAATGCATTCTTCAACCGTATCTGATATCTGTCTCAGGGAACGGAACACTTCTTGAGACAGAAACCAGCATGCTTCACTGTCAGGCCACTTTGTAGAATCAGAAGTAATCTTGCCCATTTCAGGAACTTGCTTTTGATTGCTTTTGGAAAGAGCTGTCTTGTGTGATTTTGGAACTAGGGCACTGTCACAGTTTATCCATCAGTGCAGCATCTGTAACAATATGTTAAGGAGTGCTTGTCAATACAGCAAACTTATGGTGCTGAATGACCAATTACACCAAACACTCAATAGAAGGTAATACCGTACAAAACCAGATGCCTCGTCTCTACAATGAAATACAGCCCTCAACAATAATAATAAACTTATTTTCAAAACTTCATGAGGCACAACGACAGCAACCAAAACTATGGCATTTTAGAAGTAGATCAAACCTCTGGCATACTTAAATGCTTGCTATGACCAAGACTATTTGCATCAATGGTTTACTTTAGCTAGTTCAGTATATACATCATACACCCAGCATTCAACCAAGTATCATTTTTAGCCAATTTTGAAAAAAGCATGAATCAGAATGATAATGGGAAAGGAGCCAGTTAAAGGCATGGTTGAAGATGAACCAAAATATCTGCTCATAGCTTTCTGCATACAACTGTATTAACTGTTACAGGCATGGTTGAAAAGAAAGCAAAATATATGCTTATAACTTGTTGCATAAAATTGTATTAACTTTTTTATTTCCAATGGAAGATCTGAGCAAAAGTTTCAGATGTTAGGCCTATGGCATAGCATGGAGTCTTTCAGAAACCAGAATTCTTCCTCACTCTCGTCCCAGGGCTCCCTGATTTTGGATTCTTTCATGATCAAATTTCAGTGATCTGGCCTAATGGTTTTATATTAATCTTTCCTGAAAAAGGCAGACAAGTACAATGCATACCAAGACTAGTTCTCAAAACATCAACCTTTAATATAACTGCAGTGCTAATATTTGCATTGCCATGATAAGGTTCCATAATGAAAGAGTATCAGCACTGCATATGAGCCTCTCAAAGGGCCCATGCTATAGCAAGAGCTCAATTAAAATATGAGAGTAACATATCAGTGTGAACCATAACCCCTTGGCCATGAATATTTGCCAAAAATTGACAAGAAACATTGAACAATTTCCTGCATATATCTCTAACATATATTTTTCCCTGTCAGGCCACATTCCTGTTATTATACCACTAGATCCACCATGCCATACGCCGGAAACAATATACATCTGGCACCACCTGCACCACCTGGCACCTGACCGCCCTGGTCGTAAATAATGTAGTTCACCACCTGGCATCTGACCGATTTGATGATAAATTACACCGTTCCAGATTGGTTCAGATGCAGAAGGAACTCGTAGCTCCGCTGCGCGCTACAAACGTCCTCGCCTCCACGTACCCGCGGGCCTCCCATGGCATTGACTTATCCAACGCCACTACAGTAAGCTTAGCTCATGGACTTCACACCTGGTACGGTGTTAATTGCTATAGTCATCGTTAGCTTTAAGCTGGATCGCATGTATTGTCTATTCTGGGTTGGACGACGAACCCATGCAACATTTAGCAAGAACACAATGATTGGCACAAACAAACAGATTAAAATGCGATATAAATTTTATTTTTGTGACAAATGTTTCAACAACAACCGAATTTACATCAAATATAGTTATTTGTCTATATTTTAAACTGATTGGCCGCCAGAAATGCTTATGCTGAAGAACTCAGCAGCTCAGCTGTAAACTGTGGTCACAACTGCGGTTGTTATGCCGCATGTATGTTAGGTGGGGAGTGGGGTTACGGTGCGTGGACGATCAAGTAGATCGGTGCGGTTAACGCCTGTTTCGATAGGAAATCGTCTGATACTTATAGAATCGTGAGGTATAAGCGCACGGGCAGCAGTGTCTTGGATAGGGAAGTAGGGTCGGTAGGTGGCTGCCGGCGTCAGTTATTGATAGTGAAACGGCAGGCTGCGCTGCACTGGGATTTTCAGCTCTGCTGATAGGTGGGTATTTGATGTGAATGATTTTGTCTCCATTGAATTTTCTGTATTAAAATCACTGGCTCTGGGCATTGCTATTTTTGAAACCTCTGCTGTTACAGTCCACATACAGGCCTGTCTACAGATATGTTGCAGCGAACATGCCCAGCATAGCAGCAAAATGAATGCCAGAATTTCAACACAAACACAACATGAATCTAAATTTGCAGATTGAGGGGGAACTGTGATCAACATTGCAGTGTACTGACAGTCAGTTTTCTGCAAATTATAATGCTGCAAGGGCAGTTTTGGGTAAATAAAACAAAAATAACTTTTACACACCAATAATTTGGTGAGTTATGTACTTCAGTCCCACCTGAGTTAGACACATGTGAGCTTCAGCACATCAATATGGCTGGCTAATGGCACAGGTGTCAAGCACAATGGATGTATTTTTTAGGCATAAGCAGGTAGATTGGCTGCCATTTGATATTTTGTGACTTCATTCATTTTGTTCCATACAAAATACATACATAATATGTGATGAATGGTAGATGGAAAACACTTTGTCTTTGCAAATGAGTGGTATGTGTCCCAAAGCAGGCACAAAGGCACTTGTAAAGTTGGGTAGGCATCTATCCACCCCAAGTTTGAACATAACTATATTAAGGCCACACTGTAACACAAAATCAGGGCAAAACAGTATTGTTTTGCCTTCAAACAGAACATCAATGATCCTTAGCTGATCAGACATTATCATTAATATGGCATAAGCACTACCCATCTGGGATTGAGCTTTACCTAACTGACCAATTTTAGTAAGATTTTAGCAGGAGCTGGTAGCTGGTGTTACTGCAGAAGTATCAATAATGGAAGCATTATGACTACCATCATGGGGTGATCACTGAATCTTGTGTTAAGTATATGCAAAAATGTTTTTCTCTTGCATCAGGCAGCCCCTGCTGATTACTGTAACAGGTGAAATTTCATTGGCCCTCCAGAAAAAAACATAGCATATTCCAATGAGGTTGGACTGGAGCAATAGTGCTATCCCAAATGGTCCTTTGAGACACTGTTCTAACAATGCAAAACATGTGGATTCATCTCACATTGACTGCCTGTCCATCTCAAAAGCTGGATAGAAGGAAATCACACTTGATGTTCAATTTGCTGTTTTGAGTCACATGGGCCCCACATCCCTAGGCAGCATGCTCCCACCCATGAAGACTATTCCCCCTTTTCACATCATCTCTCCTGACAGATAGCTTTCTCCATTCAGTAGCCATGCTAAGCCATGCTTGGTGTGTGACTCTTTACACTGCCATCCAAGCATGCAGTTTTGAGTCAACAGCAGAATGTTGCAGGAAGAGCTGAGCATGCTGCAACATTCTGTGTGGTCTGTGCTGCTCCCTGATGTTGCCTGACATTTACTGTGGTTGCTACCTCTGGCCACAAGTCATCCCATTCAGATGCAAATTAGGAGTACCTACAACATCTTGAATCTGCCCTGGCACAGACTGGTGAGGTAGAAGGCAGGGTGCTCTAACCAACTGAGCCACTGAGGCATACAGCTGCAGATGATTGAGATAACCTGTGAGTGGTTGATGACCAGAGGTGTTTTCAGCAGACTAAGGCCATGTCAACCTTTGATGGTCACTTGCGGTCATCCGGGGTTGACTCGATGGTGACGGATGAGGTGGAGCTGGGCGAGGCATCGCCAGTTGTTGAGCGTCGCGGCCTGGAGACGGATGGCTGGAGTCGTCGGCCCACGCCACCGTCCTCGCTGCCTGGTATCACCCGTGAGTGCCGGCTCTTTCCTTTCTCCAGTGCCTTTGGCGAATATCTCGTACTAGTTATTTTTTACCGTCTCCCTCAGGCGGTGTCATTTATTTGATGCGTGTCGCGAATGATGCGAGTAACGGCACTGCCTCGGTTGTAATTAGCACACTACATCTTGTGATCAATTCGGCAGTGTTACCGCCTCTTCCGTCCCTCAAGCTCACTGATAACGATCTATGTATTTCAGCGGCTTCGGCGAACATTCCACTGAATTCTCCTAGCCACCAGCAAATCAATCCCACGGTGCAGGCCAAGATCGAGTCGATCAAAGCGTGGGGAATCTCCACATACAAATATTCCCGGCAGCTGATCTCTGAAAAGCTGGGCAAATCGTCGCGCACCGTAGACGTTGGTGAGTAGTGATCGCGCACTTCAAATTCGATTTTTGTGCTCTGAATGAGGATTCGAGACTTAACCGAGGCAATGCACGTGATGTGTGCCCTCAAAAGGTGAGGCTAGCATAATATAGCAATGCAAAGACAAATCCTGAGACTTGGGGGCACCTTGTTGGGGCCTTTACCTCCATGAATTTCCTGATCAGTGTGATGCCGTTGATTTGTCGCCACTTGATTTGGAGGTCGTCGCAAAGAAGGCCAAGACAGATTGGGTTCTGTATGTCACATTCACTCGCAGATGACGTAAATGTCTATTGTCCCGTTACAAACCTCTAGTAGACACCATTTAAAATTGCAATATTTATGTGGGATCTTTATAGGCACCATGAATGTGCTTAACTGTGTTAATGAGGATCATAGTCCGCAATCGCATCATATCTATGCATATTGCTGCTTAACCTGGGCGCTGATCCAGAAATCTACCCAAGCACAAAGCTCGAAAGGTTCAGACGTGCCCAAAGCAAGTTTTTGTTCCCCAATAGCTGTGGTGCATGAGCCATGTCAGACATGTTTTTAATGCGCACTACGTTGTGACCTGGAGCACCTTGGCAGGTGTCATTTGTGTGAAACACGAGCCAGTTGGCAGTCACGGACGGGCACCTTGCATCATCCCGATTTCACATTGGAAAAAGCTACCTCTGGTGTCACGTCCGCGGTGGGAGTGGATACAATTGCTTCGTACATCGCTAGCCCGATGTCGCACGCATTGTTTTCACAAATAACGTTCAATGGATGGTGCTGAGCTAACTGAAATTGTGTGAGCTACGTAGAACGGTTCAGACGTTGTTCCAGAAAATCGAAAGAAAGTCAGCCTCCCCTTTCCCCGTCCCGCTGTCAAAGAAGGCAGAAGTCAATGTTCCATGTTCAGTTCATGTCGGGAAGACTGCCAGGCCGGCAAAGCAGGCAAGTGTACTTCAGCCCTTGACAACGATGCACAGCAGCCCCGGGTACTGTCGGGTTCCAGTATGGCCTGAACGCGCTGTATCTTCCAGAGTTGGATGCCCAAATCGAGCGGCTGCGAGAGACCCAGAAGGAATACTTGAACGTGCTGAAGCTGGCGCGGGCCCTATCGTCGCACTTCTGCAACATGCTCAATACACAGGTAAGTGGGTATCCAGATTCGCCAGGATTTTGACTTCCGATGATCCTGGATCCTGTGTTGGTATGGGCTAACCATGCCAGTGGCCAATGGTTACCTCGATTGTGTGCACTTTGCAATCATCTGTGAGGACTTTTGTAAATGTTTTTTTTAAGTTTGAAAGGCCTTGGTGGTCTTGATGCATTTTAAATTGTGCGTTGTGTAACTATTTGGATCACGAATGCGACGTATTAAGGTTCCCATTCGCAAAAGCAGCTACGTCATAAAGCTGTCTTTCTTCGTCGCGTTGAGCAGCTGTGTATGACGTGGTCTGCATATGTTATGTACGCACAGCTGCAGCTGAGTGAACAGTTCACGGAGCTGGGCCAGCATAGTCCGGAGCTGCAGGACGAGTTCGTCTACAACGCTAACACGCAGCGGGCGCTGCACAAGAATGGACGTACGCTACTCAACGCGCTCAACTTCTTCGTCTCGTCCATCAACACGCTGTGCAACAAGACCATGGACGACACGCTGGTGACCATCAAGCAGTACGAGATGGCACGGTGAGTGGTAGTGCAGGCCTGGTGGCGGCGCACCTCTGCACACGACACCAGGCTGCGCACCTCTGCACACGGCAGAGGTGCGCCGCTGGTGTCGGCTTCACCCGCGTCTGGCGGCCCGGCAGAGGGCGCGCGTATCTGTTCATGTTTTCTTGTTGATTTGCTCAGCTCGTCGCCAGAAGCGTAACGACCCACGGACGGGAAATGTCCCGTTAAAATGGCAAGCTTCAAATATCGGATATGGTGAAGCAAGATCAATAAATATTATTGGGCGGCGAATGAATAAGTTGCAGGATAATGTGCACTTTGTCGCACCACTTCTTACGCATGGGAAAATTATCGTTTAACAGGCCTTAACGTCCCTATCGATGGCTAAGTATGTGAATTAGATCCCTCGATAGCTTACAGACCGTCGTTAACCGTGTGTATGCATGCTCGGGCACATTGAACAGGGTATGTGTGCGAGTTGATGGGGGCGGGGTCGCTGGTAAGGACAAGTTTTTGGGCACAATTTCTGCATCCAATTTTCCTCGAACTATGCTTCTTAGTAAAACAAGGTCATGTTGCATCCACTGGAAACTGAAGATGGAATTTTGAAGTAGTGCAGAAGCTTACTATGACAGAGAAGCAGCAAATCCAGAAGTGATGAGGTTTAGTTCAGTTCGAAATACTGAGTGCCATCAATATGTCGGTATTTAGCACCACAACGTCACTTAACCAGCACCTTGTGCTATGTTGTTTGTTGACTCTACTCACGAAGTCACTCAGTGTTGACTAACTCGAAGTGTGAGTTACTAGCCATCTGAAAATGTGCTGCACTAAACGACGTACACTGTGCGGGACTTGGCCACACCCGGCCAGGTCACCCTGTGGTACTGTAGCGCTGGTCATGGGCTGGTGTAATGTTCAGCCAGCAGGGACTTTCGGTTAAATTTTGCCAGCTCTCTGGTAGTCTGAAACGACTGATTAAGAGAGCCAAGTGTTCTGTGCTCCGAGTGCCCCGTGGCCAAGGTGCTAATTCATCTCGGCTGACTGTTTAAGACATGGAGGACAAAAATCAACTTTGTGTTGCACGGCTGTGAGAACCAGACTGGTTCTTGAATTACACTGACATGTTTAACCTCAGTGACGTCAACGTGATATTTCATCGGACTGATGCGTGCCTGAGTGTCAATAGTCATTTCTTTCATTTCGCAGGATTAACGGTCCGCTGGACTGATCAGACTTCCAGGAGGCCAACGGCCTGCCGTTTCGACACTCCGTCAGTGGGGCATGTAGTCTTACCAAACATATTGCTGTCATCGGCGTTAAAAGGCAGCTGAATTCAATGTGACACGCCCCGGTTAGGGTGGATGCTGGGTCATGTGCCTCCCTCTACGTTTTTCTTTGGAGAGGGGGAATTATTCCTGAATAGTGCGGCGCAGCAATGCGAAACCTTGTGTAGATAATTAAATAAGCAATTTTGGGGATGCAAACAATTATATTTGTTTCAAGGTATACCTGGAGCAGGTCAGGGTTACCGGCAACGAAATTCTCAGGAAGGCTCTCAAAGTTATTGCGTCAATATAGTTTTAGACGAAGTTATATAACTTTGAGGTTTTTCCGAGGCACTTACATGATTGAAATAAGATTTAGAACTAATTGCATTGATCTTTGGGGCAGCCATGAAGGTCAAATTAAAGTGAAAACCAGACTTTTTGTATGTAATTTTTCCTTTTTTCTGGGTAGCTTGTGGCCTTCATGTCAACCTCTGCGTTCACAAAGACATGAACACATCGCTTATGCTGACCTCGTGAAGGTCAGAGGAAGCTGCTCACCTGAAATGTCCTTGGTCAACCTTTTGTTTTGGGGAACTCGCTGTGTGGAAAATTAGTGTCATTTTGATGTTATAGAGTCATGTGACATCCCTGGCCTGAAATGTACTTGGGCCTACCAGACAGACACAAACTATTTCATGGCAGACTCCCACGGATAATTGGAGTGTTTCAGTCCGCGTATAATGCGCTTGTGATTATAACAGCAGCCGAGAAGTCGGCATGTTTGACATATGCCTGCCATCCGCCTGATATGGCCTCCCGCGCCGGTGAAGATAAACAGTTTAGTTCGTGCTGCATGAACATCTAGGAAGAAAGCTGTGTTGCTTGATGCACAAAGCAGGTGCGACTTGGCGAAATGGCTCCACATGACATACTAGAGGAAGCAGTGAAACGTATCCATGATTGGGATTATCCGTTTCTGCTAGTTGTCATCTTTAAAAAAATGCGAGGATGTTTCCCGCTTCCAACTCCCCGGACGGACGCCAGCGCACGATGATGGGCTGAAAATATTGGTGTCATCAGCTCGTTGTGGTACCAGTAGCTCGTCCGCACACTAAAACAACGGGAAATCGTCCTGAGCTGATCTAATAGCGGCCTCGTACACGATGAATCGGCTCAGCGGGTCCGGGTGTTTGGCATGTCGGGATTGTCGTGCAAAGCTGGGTCAGCAGCCCGGCGCGTGCGGTGCCGCTGACGCCGGCGCGCCATCTCGGCAGGATCGAGTACGACGCGTACCGGGCCGACCTGGAGTGGCTGCAGCAGAGCGGCGAGCCTGCCGGCGCCGCCGGCGTCGCCGCCAAGCTGGAGGAGGCGCGCCGCCAGCACGACGCCAAGAAGGCGCACTATGAGAAGCTGCGCGCCGATGTCGTCATCAAGCTGCGCTTCCTCAACGAGAACCGGGTGGGTGGGAGCAAGCTGCCCACGGCCACGTGTGTGTGTGGGGGGGGGGGGGGGAGGCGGTTTGTGGACACGTGGTATCTGTGTGCTCGCAGTGTATCGGCGGTGCTTGCCTGTTGCGTGTTTATCTGCGGTCTCCATATCCTGCCGGTGTTTGTTACGGGTTAACGTGGCTTCATGCTGTGTGCAGGCGGATTGGACAGGTTACAAATGCGAACAAGTTTAAAGACACTAGATTGCTGACGCCTTGCTAAGGTCACGCGCTCGGGTTGTGGTTACCACCGTCGTGGATGCTAGAGTCACGAAACCACGTGACACCTAATTGGAGTGCCCGGGATGGAGAGTGAAAAGGATTTGATCCATCCACTCCCAAGCCGCGCGCGGCTGAGCTCCCAACGCGCCTCTTCCAGGTGAAGGTGATGCACAAACAGCTGGTGCTGTACCACAACGCCGTGTCCAACTACTTCACGGGCAACCAGCGCGCGCTGGAGGGAACGCTGAAGCAGTTTCACGTGAAGACACCATCGGCCGGCGACCCGTCTTTCCTGGAGCGGGCCGACTCGGCGTAAGGTGGCGGCACCGGCGGCCTGGGGGCTTCGCCGGCCCGGCGGCCGTTTGGGGCAGACGGAGCGCGCCACCCGGCCTCGACGGGGCTGGCGACGCTCAGAGGACCCTCTCCCCAGCGGGAGGGGCGGTGGGAGGCCGCGGGGCGTCAGGCAGGTCACGTTCCGGCTAGGACAGGGTGGACTGAAGTATGGGGATGATCAGGGGCGGGCCGATGCAGGCTCGGGCGGACGCAGCGGCTGAACTAGGGACGCCGGTAGGGCTGATTCCGGTCGGGCTGCTCGGGGTCGGCGTTGGACCCTCTTAGTTCTCATTAATGATTGATGTTGAATGCTGGTTTTGCTTGTGATTCAATTCAAGACGAAAAGCTGACAAGTTTTGGAGCGATCACACTGGTTGCATGGTATCATAATTATGTACCGCCATCCGGCAGCATGCCATAGTTATCGTTGACATTTTCGTGGAGGACGTGTTAAACGCAGCTACGGTGACAGGGCACCAGGACGCATTACGTAGGAAACAAGATGCGGTCATGCCGACCGCCCAGTCCTGTTTATTTTTATTTATTATATTATAATTTTACTTAAAAATTGGTCTTCTGCTCGGCCTTCGCTTCGCGTCTCACGAACTAGTAACAATATGAATGTCCCATTCCATAACCCAGGTGGCTGTCGCCGCGGAGGCTTTGGGCGACGCGCGGCGCTGTGTAGTCGCTGCGCCTGCCGGCGTGTGAGCGGCGGCTCCATGTGGGCCGTGTGGCGCGCCGCGGCCGGCGCGGCCTGACCCAGTCATGATCGTCACACGCTGTGTGCCTCGCACCGCTTCCGCTGTCGCCTCGCGCTGGCGGGATGGTGTTCAGCTTGCCTCGGATGATTTGCGCCGAAGTTCTAGTCAGGCGAGTCATTTTAGCTGGCGACGTCGACTGTGGCTGCGATTTGACGCATTTTTGCCAAGCACTTTTGTTTGTTTGTGGGGTTGCTCTGGGTATCCATTGCAGAAATGTTGCACGACCTTTCGGGCTGATCGTCGCGGGGTTACTCTGTGCGCGTGTGAGGCTGTCGTCTTGTTTTGTCGCGACCGGCGCTGTACATATATATGTGCGACTGTGCGTGCTCCATGCCGACAGAGCACTGGACAAGTGCTGGACTGTGACCACGTATCTTGAATGCAATAGGTGGATGATTTAGCTTGTCACCTTTGGTGGCATGGGGTGGAATCGTGCTAGTCAAAATCATCGAGTCGATTTGGTGTCTTGCTTTTATTTTCAAAGTAAATTTGTCGCTTGCTTAGACCACGGACGTGCTTGAGTGTGCCCATTTACACATTCTCAGTGATAGTCCATGTGTGTTTGTGCGTGAGTTCTTCTCAGACCCTGAAATACAACCTGGCTAGTTGCATCGAGGCCTTACGGTAACCGGCACAACGTGGGTGGGGAAATGAGGTGTTGCTGCAGAGTGCCATGCACTCCCTCGAAATCGGTCGTCGTGAACTACAGTGGTGTTAGTCAACGTGGGCCAAATTGGTCATTAGGTGGATCAGATGCCCACCCAAAAATGCAAATTGACACTTGGCGCTTTTTTACCCCTAGGATTCCCAAATTGGCTTGAAACTTATGCTTGAAATGGAGGCCGTGTTCCTTGATATTGAATTTTACCCTGAAGGGTGACCTTGAGAGGTTAGGACATTTTCACGGACGCTAATTTGTGTGTTGGAGACGATTATGATGCTTGCGATCTGATATCAACTGGTATTTTTGGGCAGAGTGAAGCTCACCGCCATTTGATCCTAAATTTGACTTCGAAGGTCGTAAGGTGCAGCAAAACAGACATCAGATTCGTTGTTTCAGATTCGTGCCATGATGGCCACTTGATGCGTTTACATTGAAATTTGAAGTCGTCGCTAAGTGGATCGCGAAATAAGCTCCAAATGTCACAACCGTGCGAGCGGTGACCGGCGATTCCGCCCGCCGCGCGCGGCTGACCGACGCTACTACACAGAATCTTACATCCAAGTGGATTCTCGAATCGTACAAAATTACACACCAATGCACTTGTCATAGAACACGGAGCACCACTGCGTAGGGGTTGTGTCGCTACGGGGCTTGGCCTCGTACATATGGGCATGCATATCTGAAGTAAGATTTTCAGGAAAATGTAACCTTTGATCGGACAAAATGGGGCCAATTATTGATCTGGTAACGCAAAGCTTATCATCAGTCGCGAGATCTCGTTGACACCAATTAACGGGTGTTTTCCGCAATGTTCTATCTTTCTTGGTTTGAAGACGGTAGAGGAGGGGGGGGGGGGGGAGGAGTCGCATCGACCTCCTGCCACCACAAGTCCGCGCCATGAAAAACGGCGAATCAGGGTGAGGGTTCAGGGTGAGCTCATGACGAAAAGGATCATAACGTATGCAGCAACATAGAAGCCGGAGCTTTTTGCATATGAAAAGCGATAGAGCCTACTAAAACAAATCCTTTATAAACAGAAAACTGATGGAAAAACGGTTTGTAAACTTCTACAAATACAGAACAACTGATATCAAGGAAATTCTAGAAATACAGAACGACTGATATCAAGTAAATTTCAGAAATACAAAACAACTGAACATATGCCAAATCTTCTACCAAATTCCGTGAATTTCGACCAAATTCCTGCGAAATCGCTCAGCATCTAGCGCACACCTCTTGACTCGAGGAAAGGGCGGCTCCCTTGGCCATTCCCTTTGCTACGCCTCCGCTACGGTACCCGTGAAACTTTTCACGCACGCTGAGCAATAGTGTTCGTGGAATAGTGGCTTAAGCCCGCGCCTTTTTATATGCGGTGCCGGTGAAGCGTTTGCAGATATCGACGCAATTAGTTTGGCAGTTGTTTCTTTCCGCGCAGTGCCACAGAGGTATGCGAAATACCTTCCGGAGTCGCGTAGGCAGCTTTTCCGCACGCTCTCTCCCCTTAATCCGTGGCCGCCATTTGCAAAGCATTCCGGGGCCCCTCTTGAAGACATAGATGCTTCTGTTGCTGATGTTTTCCCGGTAATGATCATCGCCGTAATTGAAACAAAATGTGCACCGTAATGATTAGATTGTTCCATGCTACGATTCCATCGTCGCCCATATTCGTGGAATGGCTGATTCGCTGCTGTCACCGGAGGTGGGTGTACATATGATGCAAACATGTAAAGATAGACCGGAAACGCATGAAGAAATGCGAGAATCGCCTTTCCGTTAAGAAAGACTGCAAGAAAAACTGCGTGTATGTGCGAAGTCGCGTTACACGAGTGGGGTAAGTCATGCTGTGATTGTTTAGGAGATGGCACAATTAGTACGCACGCTTTCAGTTGTGATAGCAAAACTTAAGGCTGCTCTCGACGTTGCCCTAAACAGGATGAAAACGCCATACCTTCGTGGTAAAAACGCCCGCCCGTTTAGGAAGTCGTAGCTCGGCGCGTTTACAGTAACTTGGTTGGAAACCACCAAAGTGCTACTTATCCACGATGCAATGGCGCAGGTGGCGTCGTATTCCTTCCTCAGCCTTTTTGCGCAGAGCTGTTTTTGCCAAAAAAGTCGAGCTTTTGCTCAATACTCTTTCATAACACGCGTCCTGCGGCTCATAATCACAGACAGGGCATGATTATTCAGGCGCCACACCGCCTACAAATGGTTCCGCCCTCAACCCACCGATATCCAATTAAATTACCACTACCTTCGCCATTCAGTAAAGCATTACATTCTCGCTATGCTTCGGATATTCAGGCGCCACACCGCCTACAAATGGTTCCGCCCTCAACCCACCGATATCCAATTAAATTACCACTACCTTCGCCATTCAGTAAAGCATTACATTCTCGCTATGCTTCGTGGCATCTTTTGGATATACGCTATACAAGGAGCTCAGCCGTCACACAAGGCAACAGGCAGGTTTTATCAAGGCTCGCACTCGGAGCAACGAGTATCAAAGCCACCCCGCCCTCCGCGACACCGACCTTGCTCCATGTCACAGCCTCGTCGCTTTAGCCTGACACTCCGGCAGCGGCCTTAGGCTGTGCCGGTCACTCCTAGGGCAGGGGTGGGTGCACGAGATCGCCCCAGTTGACCCAGGCATAGCCCCAGTTCTTGGGGTTGGCTCGCGGGTCGACTGGCTTGTTGCGGGGCGGCACCATGCCGCGCTGGAACTCCTCCATGCGGCGGCGCAGTTTGCTCGTGACGGCCGGCATGGCCGCCGACAGGTCGCTGTACTCGCACGGGTCCCGCAGCAGGTCGAACAGGCAGGCGGTCTTCAGGCACGTGCGCCGCGGTGACGGCTTCTTCTGGCACGTGATCTGGCGGCGGGCGGTGGACGTGACAGTGCGACGCGAACGGCGCGAGCCAGCTGCTCACGTGGCGTCACATGGTGCACGTGCCATGGGTCAAAGGCGGGGACGATCGGCCCAGACGAGGAATCAGCGTGGTGCAAGACTGACAATAAACGGTGAGCAAACAAATATTCTGTGACAACGCTATACCGTGCAATTTCCGCGCCTGTCCGTCCATTTCATCGCACCGAAAGTATTTTGCAGTGGGTTATTTTTTTCGCTTTTGTTTACGTGCTTGCCATGGGAGGTCTGCACGACGTGGTTTGCATCGGTCCATGTTTGCTGAACTACTCGGGTCAATACACAGACGACACTCACGCTCTGCTGGCTCCTCAGCGTTTTCCACTGGTCCTCGGTGACCGACATGTTCATCTGGCGCATGGCGCGGCCGGCGTGAGACGTGCTCATCAGCTGGTAGAGATCATACCGGGTGTCGTTCCTGCCGGATGGGCCGAACCAGCCGCTCCAACCCTCGTTCAGGCTTGAGCCCTGCGGCGGCCGGAGTCGTCAGCAGCCCTGCCCGGTGCTGCCGGGTGACGGTGGACTGCGTAGCGGAAGCGGTCCGGGGCTAAACTTAACGGGCTGCCTTTCAGTCGGTGCTATCCAAAGCGTCAGCCAAATGATTGGTTGTAGCACTGCGACGCGACGCAATGTCGTGAAGGGTAGGGTAAACACTCTCGCCCCTTTCACCGACTGAGTATGCTTCACGCTTGAATGTGGCTGTACGTGCATTTCCAGGACTCACCTCAATAAATTTAAAGTTGCCTTCGATCAATGCCCGGTATCCCGTGCTAGGCTCAATGTTAAGTAGAATTTCCTTTCTGGGCGACGGGAGCTTGTTGGATAATGCACTCCACATGTCAATGCCATCGATATCGCCGAGAGTGCCTGGATCACCACCTGGGAATACAAGTTTGAAATTATCGGTAGAAAGATGCCCGGAGCTTTCAAGAAATGTCGCCAAGGCTTAAATTCAACCAGCCAACAACAAATCCAACTCGCCAAATTAAATACCACTAAGATAACATTGACACGAAAGTGTATACCCCTCGCAGTTAAAAACCTGAAATCCGACTATGCACGTTTCAGCTTGGATCATCTCAGCCACATCGCTGGATGACGGAGATTATGAGGATCTCAATCCATCTGTTGCGACCATGTGTCAGTTGACATTTCAAAACATGATGAGGGAGTTATCGTTTTAGGCCGCCATGCTTATAAAGCGCAGTGAGCATCCGATGATAGCGAGTCTGGCAGTTCATGCGACTATTTTTGACTTCGCAACTTTTCTTTGAAACTGATATGTATCGTATTGTCTTCAGGGAGGTGATGTGAATTGTAATGTAAATATTTCGTCCGCTTAATTTCACATTATTTCTGACACATATACCAATCTGTTGTTTTTACTTAGTTATATAGTTGACAAAGATGGCTTAAAGATGTGACTGATTATAACACAAAGATAATGACTAAAGATGACTGAGTGCCTTTTCAGTGCTGTTGTATACTATTTCATTAAAAGATAGCCGCTACGCCTATGTCAAATAAAACCTCCTTCCTAATTGAACATCACATAGGAATGTGTTACATAGTACGAATCTATCCTGACCTCATAGATAGGGCAGTAGTAATAGCCGTATTCCTCAGAGAAAAATCCGGAGAAAAGAGATATAGTTGGGTTGATATTTCGGCAGCATGACTTTATCGAAACAATATCAAAAGTGAATTCAAAATTGCCAGCCGATGATTCTACTCGATTTTTGAGGTTTTTTCAAGAGCAAGCCGCGGTTTTTACGGGACACCAACATTCAGGGGATAAAAAAAGAGCGATTGTCAGCCACTAACACGATACAGTGCCTGTCTAAGAATCAGATTACGTCAACATACATGTACATGGAAACGAATGCAAGCGAACAGGCATCACGCATCGCGCTTCATTCAAACATGCAAGCGAGTTGAAGTTAACTGGCATCACACATCGCGCATCAATTATACATGCAAGCGATTTCAACTGGACAGGCATCGCTCATCACACGTCAGGCATCACTTATGCATGTAAACGATTTTAAGCTAACACACATCACACACAAAGGCACATATCACTCTCACATAATCGGCCATAATGAGCCCTGTACGCTAAGATTTGGTCGCCGACTTTTTATAAGAAAAGATTCACTTATTTTCCTGTTTGGGTGGTCCTTTGCTCTGTAGATGACTTTGATCTCGAAAAAGGGCATTGGATCCATACCTCCCTCGATTTCAGCCTGAGCGTGTTTTGCCCAAAGTGGTCACCGAAAGGGGTAATAAGGTAAAGGGGTATTAGGGGTAGAGGTAAGGGGTAACAGGCAGTGATGCCTGACGCGCGATGTGCGATGCCCGCCCAATTGAAACTGCTTGCATGTGTAATTGATGCGCGATGTGTGATGCCAGCTTGCTTCAACTCGTTTGCATGCTTGAATGAAGCGTGATGCGTGGTGCCTATTTGCTTGAATTCATTTGCATGCAACGTATGTTCGCGTGTTCTAATTCTTAGATAGGCACTGTATCGTGTTAATGGCTGGCAATCGCTTTTTATTTTGTTCCCTGAATGTTGGTGTTCTGTAAAAACTGTGGCTTGCTGTTAAAAAACCTAAAAAAATTGTCGAAATATCCAACGCCCTGTAACAACGAAACACCCACCAGACTATATATCCATTCTTCTCGTTTTTTCCGACGAATAGTGGTATTACTACTGCCTTATCTATAAGAACAACGTTCCTCGTTAATGCACTAAACAACTTACGTAATTCTATCCTGAACTCTGATAACGCTCGTGGAATTGCATGAGAAGTTTTCGTTTTATATTGACTCTAGTTGCGTGCATTATCAGTTCTGTTTTAAAAGAACGGTCAAAAATTCACACACTTAAAAGATTGGAAATCATTTGCTGTCGTAAAGTAGCATGAATCATGCCACTTACTTGCAGTTTATGTATCATACAGGCCAACGCCTATTTACGACGCCTGTTTAAGACCGACCGACGAGCCTGCCGTCATTCGTTTATCGGTGCTGTGCTGACCACGTCGCGCCGAGCCATCACTGACCCAATCAGGCAGCGACCCTCGGCGGAAAGCCTTGCTTTGCTCAATAGAGAGCGTTTGCTGATGATTATTGAGACAAAGCGCTTGCGTGAAACGCCTATTGATGATCTGCGACAGGGTGCGTGCCACTCAAGGCGCAGCTTCAGTAGCAGCACGCCGTCGGCCACCAGGTCGAGGTCAGTGCATCACCGACGAGCAGCACATCGCAGACCGACAGTGGGGCGGCCCGGCGGCGCGCGGCTCATGCATGCGCAACTCCGTTCTGGACCGTGGACCGTTCTGGCCAAATGATGTCGCCGTTTGCTGGGGCCTCGTCAAGTTCCTGTCAGGATCCGACACACTTATCATAGTGTGATGGATTAGAACAGATAATTTGGTAAAGCCCTTCTGACGACGACGACGGGCGTTGGGGCAGAAATCCTTCCTCCAAATGTTGCCAGGTTGAGTAAAAAAAAAAAAAACTGGTGCAACGCGTAAGTACATTAACTCTTGCTTAAAATTCTATGGAGTGAGAAGCCTAGGGATCTGTGGAGTTACATGTTAGAGATAGAAAACAAAGCTTCTTATGGAAGGTCGGCTGTCAAATTCTGAAAATTCGAGTTGTGAATTATGACTATATGAACCGACCAGGTTATCCTTTAGGTATGCGGTGCCGCATCAGATGTAAACATTTCAAAGACGTTTACACAAGTAGCTAGTAATAACAAAATTGGTGAACAGACTCTACTCCTTGATGTTCATGCGACTTGCAGTGTATATAATGTCCAAAATGCTCTCAGTGTGCTGTATATATGTCATACGACCAGCGGCAGACCACTGCGCATCAACGCCCTGCTTTGCTCTGCTGCGAACGCTGCTCTGCGTCAAAATTGAGACCGATGATCGCAATTTCCCACAAAAAATTGAACGCAACCAATGCATTTTTGAGGTATTTAAATAGTTGTGGACATTAAGCGACGGACCATATATGACCGCTCCATTTCATTCCGCGATCGACACAGCCCCACCCAGCGTTTAACACAAGTATGCGCGTAAAGCTGCCAAGATAGAGGCTGGTCGCACTTCCGCAAAACGCGCACAGTATATGAATAGTACCAAAATCATACGGCGACCACGTTAAATTCAACGAAGAGTCCGAAAACTCGTGCACAAATGTCAGAGACAACTACAAGGAAGAAAGGTTTACCAGACGACCGCACGTGTGCCACGAGACAGCTAATGCTTCTTTGTCACGACAAGCATGCGTCCTCCGTCCAAGCATCCGTCCTAGCAGTGGTACGTAAGCACCACAAAGTGCGCAAAATGTGGCGGCTGCAGCTCAGTGCGTTGTCGACTCGGTCCACTCAATGACGAAACAGAGACACCGATGGCGCTCAAATGCTCCAAAAGTCCAATTAACAAATATAGGTGGTACGCCGCAGGTTCGACGGCAGTTACGCACGAGCACAAATACGCATGCATGCGCTACGCTTTCACATGAATACCTGCAGGAAGTTTTCTCGCAAAAGTGTACGCGCCTGTACAGTCTTTGTGAACACCAAACACGGCGCCAGGTTTGACACCTCTGGCGCCTTCCGCTATCGGCACGGCCGTCACCATGTGGGAGAGGCATGCGTGTATATGTACGTGTGTATGCAACTCGTATGCAACACCCATATCGATCAAATCAAAATTCACCGCCCCGGCCCTCGTTGAAGAGTAATGGTCAAGAGCTCGTGACGTTTACATGTGCTGCGCTAGCCCGTTGGCACCCTGCACTCAGCACAACCCGCTTTATTGGATAGTCCTGTCACCCTGCTGTTACGCTACACCAAAAATACAGCCATCCCGTAGCTCAGGCACGGGTTGAAGATGGCTGAAATGAGAGAGGTGAAACGTGCTGGCGAGAGCATCCGGCGCACGAGCCACCGACCTCTCCACTTTTGGCGACGACGGATCTCCCCACGGACAGTTCACCCACGTGTCAAAGTTAGCACTTGCAGCAAAAAAGAGTGTGTTTCAAGTTTTATGGGATTTTGAACTCAAAAAGCCATCTTGACGAACTTAAATACGTAGGTATATAAGCATATTATAAGTATATTATGCACATAAGTACATAAGTAGATCACAAGTATACTACATACGTAAGTATATAAGTATATTATAAGTATTTTATATACGTAAGTATATAAGTATACCAAGAGCAATAAGCGAGCGTGTTTCGTCCTTTCTAGTGCTTGCTTCAATATCTTTAAATGCAAAATATTCCCTTTAAGCGTGACGTCTCGAAAATATCGCGGTCAGAAACGGAGCACGTACCTGACCGGGGCAATTGACGCAAGTCGTGAGTCAGAACGCATTAAGATCCTGGATCATGTCAGCAGGTATGTTATAGATTAACGCGACCTTTTGTGCTTCATTTCTGAGGTGTGGCAAGGTTCTGGTCAGGAATCTGGGTCCAGCATTTCGCAATAGTCGAGTTCGGGTTCGATTCACATGGCAGCACCCCGGCCTATGAGTCAGTGTCCGCACGCATAAATTTGTCACTCTGAGCCTGAGTCGGATTGGGCTTTGAGGTGAGTCGCGTCATTCCGGAGCGAGCCGAGTCGGCGACCCCACACTCTGCGGTCAGACTCACCCGCCGCCGAGAGCAGGGTCGGCAGCAGGTCGGTGATATGCATCAGGTTGCTGGACACATACGAGCGCTGCTTCAGCAGCGGGCTCCACACGAAGCCGGCTCCGCGGACGCCTCCCTCCCACAGCAGGCTCTTCACCTGCCGACCAGCGAGGGATGAGTGGCCGCTGTCTCCGTACTGGTCCATGTTGCCGGCTTAGGCGCGCAGCCCCCGCCAGTTTTCACGTGCCCGGCGCATGGCGGGTGTGCAGTCACAGAGCATAGGATGTTACGGCAGCTGTGCACCAACGGAGGTGGCTTGCACGCGGCCGATCCTGCGTGGACCTGGCTCGAAAGTAAAAAAAATAAATGTCATCTATAGACCATAGAAGATGTTGTGCCATGCACAGCACAGCAAACATGGATGCACAGACATCACTGGGTTTATTTTTCAGACGTTGTCGGGTATACTAACCCTGAGCGATGCTTGCGAAATCAAAAATGCAAGCACTCAAACAACATGCGGTTGCGGCCTCCGTGCTGTGTGGTAAAGATGCCGGACTCGTTACCCAGCGATACTGGGCATTTGTCACAAAGCGCCCTTCCTCCACCCCCACCCATGGCGTAGCCCAACTGATGTGAAAAAGCCAAGCTGCAACTGGCCATCGACGGTCACACCAGGCCCGGGATAGGGCAGCCGTGATGCTGCACCGCACGACACGTGATGCTTGTCGTAAATGAAACATGCCCTCCGCGGTCCCGTTTGACCAAAGGGTAGAGGCTTCACTTCACATTTTCATGACTGTTGTGTCTAGGTTCAGCCTTGATATTTTACAAAAATGAAGCAGTGACAGTAAACAATTTTCAGGACGTGCGAAGAAAAACACCACCAGCTTTGAATACAACTAAGAAGGCAATGTGGACGGCCACTATGGCCACGCATGCTTAGCAGGCACTCTGAAGTCAAAGCCGCTCATCCGAACAATTTGGAATAAGTTAGAAATATAATACTTAAATATTTATGTCAGAGTTCTGAAAGAACTAGGTACCTTCGTGCTAGCCACTTGCAACCAAACTACCGGATAAATCTTTAAAAAATGCAGTAGCCAGTAACTGCGCCTTGCTACTCTCCGCAAATCATCTCACTGCGTATCAGCCATATTTACAACAGACACCATTCGACAGATTCACTGGCCGGTTGCAAGGGAACCCGCTCAGAAATCTCACCATTGGCGGTGTGGAGGCAACCACGGTAACTAGACGACTTATTTCAAAAGGGCTGCTATCACTCACCATGCGAATCAAAGACATGCAAACACGCACGCACGCACGCACGCACGCACGCACGCATGCATGCGTGCACACCCACACACGTATGCACACAAGCGCGCACGCACACAATCTCACAGTTCCTACGTCAGTGTCGACGCTATCGTCGTGCGGGACGTTTCGGGGCTGTGAGAAGCCGGTCACGACAGTGGCCCTCGGGCGGTGACTGCCGAGTCCCAGGGGTCAAAGGCCCTCGCCAGTTGAGAGCACATCGTGCGTTTGAGCACAGCCCAGTTCGACCGACCACCGACATCGGCGTCGGCAAAGACGGCGCGCCGGCGGCAGATGAAGGGGAACTTTGACCACCGCCCATCGCGAGTTCATTCGTAATTGATATAAGGTATTTTCGGATCTCCTCTATCTCCCCTCTCCACGCGGCGCGCTATAGCCTTCGGCCTTCATCCTAACCTCAGAAATGCTAACAACGGCCCAGGATAAAAATTGCGCGACCCGCTCTTCACCTGCGTTAGAAGGCCACCGGGCTTTAATGTTTCAGATGCGAATTATTTGTCACTAGAAATGCTATTCTCTCACGGATCGCTCTGCGTTTCGCCACGCCCCCTTTAGCAGGGCCGAAATTAAACAAAGCATTTCGGAGGCCAATAACACTCGGATTCTATTTCGTGGCAAGCTTATTCGGGGAAGTCCTGCGTGTGGGGAAAAATGAAAGAGATATTCAGATGGTTTAATTAGTTTGCTTTACAACCCTCTGCAATGTCACTTACCTTATCATTGACGTTACTAATGCAACAGCCGTGCAGGCTGAGTGCTAAACCATAATAACTCAGCTCTCGGCGGCCACAGATCGAGCTGGCGTCAGATCACAGATCAGCTCACCCCCCTCAGTGGCCAGTTGGAGGCGGCGTTGAAGTCGAAGGAGGCGGCCGGCCCGCCGTTGTCAGTGGTGAACACGATGACGCTGTTGTCCAGCATGCCGGTCTCGTGCAGCGCGGCCGTCACCTGGCCCACCGACTCGTCCAACTTCGACAGCATTCCTGCAGGAGGCCACGGATGCGACGGCTCGCTTCATCAATGTCTCATGCGGCTAGTGCACACGAACACGATAATGTCGCAAGGCCTGCCGCTGCAGATGCCGGGCAACCGGTGCGACAGCGCGGGCGTGAGCCGGTGTTTTGGAAACCTAATGCGTGGGATTCCGAGGCTGCGAAGGTTCTCGATCGGAAGTTCAGCATGTCACTTTTGCGATCTCCAATCCCTGCAGGTCGCCAACGCTCCTTGACAACTGGATACCAGTACTGGTAACCGTGACAGTTTCAAAATTCCGAAAAATAAATAAGCCCCGAGCCTAACAAGGTGCATATTAATTACGTCTAGACAACGCTGAGAGGATGTTAGGACTTAAGCTGCCAGAGCCAATTGGTGCTTCCGCCCCTCGAATAATTTGGAAGCTGCACAAATGCAGATGCTTCAATGCACTGACGCGACCAGCCCGTAACCACATGCCGTGCTTTCTATTACACACATTGCACTGGACTATTTCCATCTTTCACGCTGCGGTATGTGAAAAGCTGCAATTCTTGCGTTGCCTGAGTCACCTCTAAGCCTTGGGTAGCAATCACTGTCCACAATTGTGCGTATCCTTAACAATGTACGGCAGGTCATATATATATATATATATATATATATATATATATATATATATATATATATATATACACACATACGGTATATGTATGGAGAATACGTACGGAGAATACGGAAATACGCTCTTGGAGAATATGCGTGCACCCATATTTTCCCACTCGACACAATATGTGAAATGATTTCAGTGTCCGACAAAATGCCAAATATATGCATATATATATATATATATATATATATATATATATATATATATATATATATATATGTATATGTACGCATTAAATATGCATATGCATATATATATATATATATATATATATATATATATGCATGAATGTATATATCTAATCTATACACATGTCCATACATATGTATATATGTATGTGTGTGTGCAGCGTGTGGTCCGACTATGTACATATCTAGGTGCACCGCACTCTGCACACACACACACACACACACACACACACACACACACACACACACACACACACACACACACACACACACACACACACACACACACACACACACACACACACACACACACACACACACACACACACACACACACACACACACACACACACACACACACACACACACACACACACACACACACACACACACACACACACACACACACACACACACACACACACACACCACACACACACACACACACACACACACACACACACACACACACACACATACACACACACACACACACACACACACACATACACACACACACACACACACACACACACACACACACACACACACACACACACACACACACACACACACACACACACGGACATCACAAGGTCGAGCGGCGATGAGACGTGTATACCGGCGAAGCGTCTCCTGTTGCCGTCGGCAATGTGGGAGAACTTGTCGATGGAGGCGGCCGGTGCCTGCAGCGGCTCGTACTCGTTGGCCGAGTGCACCGCCAGGTGCGCCAGGTAGAGGAACATCGGCCGCGAGGCGTTGTGCGCCACAATCTTCTCCACGGCCTTTTGCGTGAACAGGTCGGTGGAGTACTGGCCGAACGCGCCGCGCGCCTCCTCCATGTCGCGGCGCAGGTCGTAACCCCAGTAGCCGTGCTGCAGGCACGGTCGCGGCGTCGTCAGTGGCCGGCGCGCGGGCGCCAGGCGCCGAGTGCGCCACGTGTCTCTTGTCTACGGGTCTTGGAGAATACGCGTGCAACGATATGTTCCGACTCGACACGATATGTGAAATGATTTCAGTGTCCGACAAAATGCCAAGAGTGACATGGTAATGTGCTTAAGTGCTTTAATCACAAGTTGTCCAATGCGGGAGCGAGTGACATGCCGACATTTGCCTATATTTTAATGGCGCACCAACAACCACTCAGCGCTTCATGGCCATGCACGTGAAAACACATGATATGGAGCAAGATGCATTGGTTACGAGGCAATCGTGCAATATTTCAGCACGCACCCAGTGTTAGTTGTTAGGCCAGATGCGACAGCAACATTAAATGCATAATGATGCAAATGACATGATAATGCGCTTAAGTGCATGTCACGCTGTGACCGCTTGCTGAGTGCAATAGATTTCACACACACTGAATGCAGGAACCTGTTGAATGTGTTGACAAATGTTGAACAAGGTGGTTTTGTATGGAATGCATGCGCGGGCGTTTGCGTTTTGAAATACACGCTTAGATCAGCAAATAGCCCATCTAAATATCTATGCTTACAATCCTTATTCATTCGAGCATTCATCCTTTTATTTGATTCAATAATTTTACTCGGTTTATCTCCGGCAAAACCCAATGAACTATTTGCGCTCATTTGGTTTAAGCAGTGAAATCCGTACTTTCTTATGTAGGCTCATACCGATGTTTTTCTTTCGGGTTGATGTCCACATGCCGGGTGATGGTAGTGGCTCGGGAGAGGTCCAGGATACTGCATGAGCGCATTTCGGCCAATGGCCCGCTCCAGTGTCTTTTCTGTCGGTTAGCGAAAGCAGATTGCCAAAAGTTCTTGAGATCACGGTGTAGTGCTGTCCGAAGTGACCTGGTGATGGGGGTGCGGTTCAAAGTGAGCTGGTGATAGTGGTGCGGTCCGTAGTAAGCTGGTGATGGTGGTGCGGTCCAGAGTGAGCTGATGATAGTGTGGTCCGGAGTAAGCTGGTGATAGTGGTGCGGTCCAGAGTGAGCTGGTGACAGTGGTGCGATCTGGGGTGAGCTAGTAATAGTGGTGTGAACTAGGGTGAGCTGGTGATGGTGGTGCGATCTAGGGTGAGACGGTGACAGGGGCGCGATCTAGGATGAGCTGGTGATAGTGTTGGAGTGAAGAGTGAGTTGGTGATAGTGGTGTGGTCTGGGTACTCGGCATTACCTCCACGACACAACACCGGGACTCTCCCCGGCGTCACTCACATGACAGGACACAGGCGGCTGGGCCATCAAACCATGACATGTACACAGTCGCCTCGCTCCCCTCCCCCACTCCCCACATCCAGCCGCCGCCTCTTCCCCAGTAAAAAGCCGTCTTCTTGTCATACTCAGACGATGTGTTGGTCCTAATTGGTCTCTAAGCCCATCCGACACGATGCATTCAAGCGCCATCTTCTGAGGAATCTGCACTGCTGCGATGTAGCTGGTGACAGCAAATATGTGACGACAATGCCTGTTTAGGCGAGAGAAGCTGTTTGATGAGTTTCAGTGCTTCACGTGTACGCTCAGATTGGGTGAGCGTTTTCCGTCCACGTACCACATACGGAATTTGGTTCATGTGCATTGGGTGAGGATTCAAAGTGAGTTAGTTAATGATATATATATATATATATATATATATATATATATATATATATATATATATATATATGCGTACAATGATAATAATATAACAGTATATACACACCATAGAGTTAGCTAGACAGGTAAGAAGATGTAAAACTCACCGCAAGGTAGGATAAGCGCGTGCACATGTATGAACATCGTACCATTCGAATAAACAAGTGCAAACAGAATCATTATGACGGTTGTAAGCGAATAGGGAAGACGCTTGTATGCTTGTGTAATCCCTTGCACATTTAGATCTGAGTTTTAGCTGATGGACGCATTTCTAATACAGGCGTGTGGTACGTTTCCCTACCATTTATTTCGATTATATGTGCCCTTTTAATGCAATGTAGGAGAGAGATATGTGGTATGTAGGAGGAGGAGAGATGCTACTTGATCGTCATACTCGTGATCATAACCACAGCTTGCCGCGATGAGTTTCGCCAATATAACCAGTGTTAGATCGTTTAACCAATACCTCTCGCATTTTGAAAGTTGAAAATTGTCAGTATGAGAGCACAGAACTAAAAGTGGCGAAAAACCAGGAGCTGAAGATAGTGGCTGTTATTGCTCGCATTAACTTAACATTAACCTTGCTTACATAGCATTAACATTAACCTTACTTACATGAACAATACTATTTGGCTATGTCGAGGCATGACCCATCAAAACATTCAAATGCCTGAGGAAAGGCAACAAACAAACCTCTCTGCATATTACGGTTGAGAACTACCATCACCAGCCACATGTTGCGTGCATATTGATGAGCAATGTGTGTCATCTATCTCAGGCCATGCGTACTTTTGATGTGGCTGTTCTTTTTTCCAGCTATTGGCCCGAGGTTGGACGCTAATTACTAGGTTGCACAGTGCTCCTGGTATTTGATCCACTGCGTGCGCACAGTGCACTACTTGACCTAACAGCCGTGCATGTGTTGCAAGATCTGCAATCCCTCCGTTAGTTCTTAGTAAACGGTCTCTCGGATATACTCACCCTCACACACACGTGGTCAAAGTAATCCTCCCGGCCAGTCCAGTATCCAAAAAAGCTGTTGAAGCCACGGAAAGTAGGTGTGTACGCTTTCCTGCGGAAAAAGGTTTACTGTATAGATTTTGTGAAGCATGTGCGTGCGTGTGTGTGTGTGTGTGTGTGTGTGTGTGTGTGTGTGTGTGTGTGTGTGTGTGTGTGTGTGTGTGTGTGTGTGTGTGTGTGTGTGTGTGTGTGTGTGTGTGTGTGTGTGTGTGTGTGTGTGTGTTGTGTGTGTGTGTGTGTGTGCGTACGTGTGTGGGTGCGTGTGCGTGCCTTATTTTTAAATTAAATGGCAAACGCTGACTCGGAATGGCACGTGAGCTTCGAGGTTGCCTCAACTGCATTCGTCAATTGTGTGTAATGGTCAGGTTAGGCGGCAAACTGCGACTTTTTATCCACCATTCATGCACATGCAAAAACAGCCAACGCAGACGGCCAGCGGCTTAAAGCCCGCAGTACTCTGAGAAAAATATGCTTGTGACTTATATCAACATGAAGTCCGACGTCGCATGAGCCCATCCCTCGAATAGCTTCATAAGCTCGATTAGGGAACGTGCCGTTCACCGCCTGCTATGACGTCTTGCTGTTTGCGACATTCTAAGATTAAGATGCAACGTATTTAAAATCAAGTTAATGTCTCCAATGAAGCGGGTGTGCTCAGCTGTTAAAAAAAAAAAAAAACGGGGCGGGGCTATGAGCACGCTACCACAAGTGCTGTCCTCTTCAGCTCAGCTTCGTTATCACATTATCAGGCATGACTTTCCAGAATAATCCTTTATCGCTCCTTTACGTTACTGAGCCACACATGTTACATGATATGATGCACAGAAAAAAAAATTCGTCGGAAACTAGAGCAGAAGCTTTTTACGAATGCTGGTGACAAGCGCCAAATGGATCTGTCTGCTGTTCTCCCAACAGGAGCAGACAGCAGATATGCTTTGCTCGAGGGAACACTGAGAGCTCCACCCACGAAATATATGCAGTGGTGGCGTGCTACAGCAAGATGCACTGTTGGCAGAGCCGAGTGGTTCGAGACAGCCAGAACGTGCCACCCCATGCCGATACGCGCGAGAAGGATCGCGAGGAAGAAGCGAAGTTCACTTCGCGAGCCGGAAATACTTGCCCGATCTTCATTCGTATGGTCGTAATAGTCTTTCTTCCCGCTCCAGTAACCGAAATGGGATTGAAATCCTCGCTGAGAGGGAGTGTAAGCTTTTCTATAATAGAAAATCACCTTCATGAATAACACAATAGGAATGCGTTGTACGCACGCGACTGTTACAGTAAAGCTTCTGGAATCAACCTGCTTTGTTCTTGTTTTAATATTCTGTCACTTGGACGGCATAATGCTTCATGACTTTGTTTTTAATTGCCATCACGAAACAGATATCTTAGGCCGAAAAAGCAATAGAATTCCACTACGGAAGACAATGCGCAATGTATGGGTTTATTCACAGGAAGTGGTGTTTTCTAAATTTATGACGGCACTCGAAAATAGACCAACCGCCCAAGTGACCAGCAGCATTGATTATGCATGGCGTATAGCGTTCCTGTACGTGTGCAAGTTCATTAAGCAGTTATTTAAGAAGCTGACATGTTCGCGGAAAGAATGAATGTGTAAAAAATCGCTGAACAGTGGTGCTTTCTAGAGTGATTCATTACTTAAATGCTGATCGAATGAGCAAACCGATTAAACCGAAGCAGTCCTGTCCATTTACCAGCACGTCAAGCCTAATCCTCTTTCAGCTACCAGATAACCGGATAAAAATGTGGTGACCTGACTAGGTCATCATCGGCCGAGCCTTCCACGGCTCTTGCCCTTCCAGTGCCAAGCAGCAACAGCTCACTTGTAACTGCCCAGGTGCCACTTGCCGACCGCGTGGGAGACGTATCCGAGCGCGTTCAGTCTCTGCGGCATCAGCGTCTCCTGCAGCGAGAGGCCGTACGGTTCGGCCGCCAGGATTACGTGCTCCTGCATGCCTGCCGGGGGCGGGCGCCGGGTCAGCCGCGTCCAGCTGGTGCCGCCGCCAGTAGGCGCGGACGGGCTGGGCGGCGCGCGGGAGCCCCGGCGGCGCGACTCACCCGTGTGGATGGGGTATTTGCCGGTCATGAGGGCCGAGCGCGACGGCGTGCAGACGGGCTGCACGTAATAGCGGTCCAGCGTGACGCCGCTGAAGGCCAGCGCGTCGATGTTGGGTGTCGGCACCTGGCCCGAGCCGTGAAAGCCCACGTCGTTCCAGCCCTGAGGCAGCCCCAACAGCTCTGTCAACGGCGGGAGCGGACGCTTTACGTGGCAAGATGCTCCTGCTCAGATACACTGGAAGTATTGTAGTGGACAAAGCCCTTCTTTGACAGCGCGCACGTCGATATTTTGCGGCCTTAAGCATCCCATGATTTCCCGGGCTTCTGCGCTGACACACATATAAGATCTGCTGCGTCCGAAATGTTGAAACCAGCTCGGTCGCGGAAACGCCCTGAAGTGAACCTGGACAATGCGGTCGGTCGCTATCACCTCTCGACGGACATTGGACGTGCCAGCCAACGCATGCCCTCCGGACATCCTCACGACTATGTGGCGACACCGCACACGCTACGCCGCCCACACTGCTCGCACTGCCTACGCTGCCCACACCGTCACTGCCGGCACTACCAGCACTGTCCACACCGCCCGCACTTCCCTGCCAGTCCACTACACTCCGGCCTCACCAGGTCATCGGCCACGATGATGATGATGTGTGGAGGCCGGTCGGCTCCGCTGCCCCTGTCGTGCCTGCGGCTCGCGGCTGCGGCGGCCGGCTGCTGGCACGAGCTCAGCATGCCCAGCGCGAGGCACAGCGCCTGCAGGTTGAGCCGCACGCTGATGGTCTGGTCAGCAACTGACCGACCAAATGTAAAGGCGACGGGCATCAGTCAGCGCGCACGCTTCACGTGGGGTATGTGTGCTAATGCGTGCGCGGAAGCATCGTAGCGACAAAGGTTCCTGCAGCAACCGCATGCCAATAAAACGGTTGGATTACCTGTGGCTATTCACAGGATTGTCTGAACTGGAGCCACACGGTTTTAACTTATAAAAACGCTGCGATGAGTTTCATGTGGACTTATTAGGGTAGGACAGAAAAATGGGTCTTTGGTTTCTGACCTGAGGCGAACCATTTTTAAACACAGGGAGCACATACGTGAACTTTAAGAGGGACTCATACATGCAAAAGCAAACTGTGGGGTCCAGAGGGAGGGGACATGAGGTCATGTCGGATTGGGTCCTAGTAAGGTTTTGGTGCCACGAAGGGACGCCAAACTCAGCAACTCATAACAACCGCCAAACAGCAACTCGTAAGCGACCCATTTCTAGGGCCTAAAACCTTACCTTAGGGCTTATATCTCAAATTGCTACTCTTCGGCGTTGCGAGAAAAGCTGTTCATCAGACTGGCATTCCTATTTTATACTTTAATGCCAGCGGATAACAACGCGAACAAGTAACCCATGCACGTACCTAGTGACTGACAAGTGACTTAGTCACGTTCTTGCGACATGCAGAAAATGTACGTGATAGATAATTTTCAGGAAAGCAGATCTTCACCACGCCGAAGTCGCGCGTGCAACCCACCAAAGAACCACGTATTCCGAGTAATTTTTACGTCTGATTGCAAGATAATGTTGCGTGCCGGCGGTGTAGTGCGTCTAATACCCCTCGCTTGTTGAATCTGTGACGCCGTTATTACTCATACGTCCCTAGCGTTCGAATTCCTCCGAATTCCGGGGATTCACCAGTTCGAATTGTACAATTTTCGTACTCTGTCAAACTGTTTAAAGCATGCAGCCTGCTGGCTTGTGTTCTATTCAAATTATTAAGAATCGATTCACCATTGATTCATGATCCTTGTTGCACGCTTCAGATCCGATTCGCATCATGGTTTTGTCTGTTAGGAATAGACTCTTGCCGATTCACATCGCAGTTCAAAATTTCAGTTCTGGTTAAAATCATCAACTCTGTGTGTGAATCGGTTCAGCGTTGATTCCTTCTATTTCAATGTTTGCATGTTGATTTCAATATGTGCTGATTGAAAAAAAATTAACAGGCAACGTACAGTGATTGCTACTGTACCAATCGTACTGGTTGCGTAATGAGATCTTAAAGAATCAATCTCACATCAATTCAGTTGTCCTTCACCTCAGCTTCACTCGATAAAAAAGCTCTTCAGGATGGTCAATCATTCTATTCATAATACGCGTTGAATTTTGTTATACTACGAAAGGGTCGATTCACTTGCGATTCATCAAAAATTATGTGCTTCATTAATAATTTACCACTTTATCGAATCAGATCGATCAGATCTGCATGCAGCACAAGATTTGCTCATTTCCATGTCAACGACACAAAGCATTTCACATATTCCAGGTGCTGA